TCGGGAGAGCTCGTGAAAACTCGACGATAAGGTACCTGACCCCCCCTAAAATTTTCTCAACGGATTTAGACGATTCACAAAAATGATCAATTTAAGAAATAAAACGGCGGATTTCCGCGTATCCGCAGAAAATTGCCATCACTGCGTAAGGGGAAATCCAGTTTTTAAAGCGTGACAAACAAACACTTTGGTCTTACTTTGGTCTGATGGGATCAAAGGGGGCATCTTCGAGAAGATCGTAGATGTAGTTGTTATAGACCTCGACGTAGGACACCAAGATGCTGTAACAACAGTCTTCATCCACATTCTCAGCTTTACATGCCTCTTGGGGACTGATCATGTCTGCAAATTCTGGGTCTGCCTTCTGCCTAAACAGAAAAGAATATATGAGCAGAATGGAAATGAACTTTTAGAAAAGTACCTGGCAGGGAATACAAACACAAAAAGGAACTTGCTGCAGATTAGTACCTGGAGGAGGGTGTTTTGGGCACTGTAGGTTGAGCGTCTCGCTTCTGTCTCTCCAGGAGAGCATCAATGTCATTCTGGATGTCAATCCCATTTTTGTCATCTGGTTTGAACACCTACAGAAAAAAAAAACAAAAAAAAACATTTAGTTTCTTTTTCAGAATAACTGAAACTAAAATTACAGTTTTTAGCACATAATATTACACTACATCTGTCTCCACCTTTTCCTCAATTGAAAAAGGCTGAATACTCTAATTCATTAGCTGGTAGATGTTTTTATTTTTATCATCTTACAAAGCGTTTGGCCTGCAAGGGGCCAATACTGTTGAAGAGCATGTCAAGGGAACGAGGGAGGAGTCCACCCTCTCCAGGCGAGCCGGTCATAGTGAAGGTTTTTCCACTTCCTGTGACACCATATGTAAACAGCAGACCTTCGAGAGGGGTGGTGAGGATAAAAAAAATAATAATAATAATAATAAGTCACAAGGATTCATTCAGAACACCGAGAAAGCAAGTAGGGGTAAAATAGTTTGGTCGTGTGAAGCAGCTGAAGCTCTCACCATTTTTACACTGAATAAGGTCCTCCACTAGCGGCTTGGCGACTTCCTCAAACAGCTCCATTTGAGTGGTATTAATACCAAATACTTTTTTGAAGGAGTACTGAGTCTAAAATATTGTCAACAAACAACAAATGTCAGTTTTATGGAGTGTGCAATGTCACGACAGAATAAGAACAGAAAAATACGGGTACGTATTCTCTAGTAAGCAATCATATTTGCGTTGTCCAATCTTTCCTTATAACAGAATTCCCTTATGTGGGAAACGACTATGGTACATGTCCTTTCTGAACATGCAAGTATGATAACAAAATACATGCGTAACAACACAAGCAATAAAATGCAAAAATATATGGTCCAAAAACTATTTATAAAACAAAAACTGCAGCATACAGTACAGGTATATGAACAAAGTACAGGACAACGAGACTAGTCACAAAATTAGTAATTAGTAGCTTTTCTTTCCACTCACTCACTGTCTCTAACTTTACCTCCCCTCGATCACCAAGACAGCATTGCTCAGCTGATGGATGTCGTGCAACAAACTTTTGAAGCCAGCCACGGGAAATTTTAATGCATAGGTTTTTATTCCGGATGAGGGAGACAGACGTCCGTAGGTGGGAATATTTACTGTATTGATCATACAGCCTAATGTGTTGATTTGCAAATATAAATAATTGCTAAATGATAGTGAACAAAGCAAAGCAGACAGTGGAACAATTACACTATTGATACCACTGGAAAAATGTTGGGGGGTGTGATTATGATGTCTCCCAGATTACACACAAGTCTGATCCAGACCTGGACTACACCCAAACTTCCACCAAAGTAGACACTGCACAAAATCTTGCCTGGTTCACATGAGTCACTTCACACATACCTCTTTGAATTCTCCATTGCGGTTGGCTTTAAGGCCATCAGGAGCATGCAGCTGAATAGTGGAGTTGCTGATCATTTCAACACAACATTCCTCATTCTCTGCTCCAAGTGGACGTATACGACAATACACCTACAAATTAAACAACAGCATGCATCTTCAAAGTACTGTATCATATAGCAATCACAAAAACCGTTTCGTTGATTTTTTTTTGTGATGGCACTCAACTAAACTGTAGCTTATCGCCTCACCTTAAGACTGAAGACAAATAAGGTCTTACTTTGCCATGATTGGTTTAATGAGTGATGAACTGTCAATGTGTGGCTAACATTTGGCTCAACACCGATCACAGTCTTTGATCAATATACAAAAATAGCTTATGTCACTGTTTAGTATATTTCAAAGACATAAAATCATTGTCGTTGATTTCATTCAGTTGTATTGGGATTTTTTTTTGCTTCCTCCCAAAGGCTACATGAAGATAACAGCACTTTAGCTGCACGGAGATAATGTTCACAAGTATTAATGTTACAATTGTTTAAAGTGTGACGATCAAACCAGAGTGACGAGTTGTGTTCACTTACGCCCACAGGATCTTTCTCTGCATGGGAAGCTTTTTTTATGCAAGGCTTGCGTGGAGTCTTGCATTTCCTGAAGAAAATAAATGGAATAACTCGTTTTGTTAAATTAATCACGCCCTTGTCGATCAGAACAGAACGTGACACATACGTTTATGTGTGGCGGTTTTGAATGCGTACAACCAAAAATATTGCATAAAATACACGTTTTTGCAGATGTATTAGTGAGAACGTGATGATGATTGTGAGTCAGGGATCAGTGACGGTTGCTCAAACACTTGTTAACCTGCCCACATCAACATTTATGACGGACCTGGTGTGTCAAAGTGCACTAGAGCAGCGATTCCCAACCTTTTTTGTCATACCATAAGTACGCCCTCACTCATGCGTTTGGCTGATTCTACAAGACGTAAGGCAAACTAGCGAGTTTAGAACCAGTCTGCCAAAATAGATGCGTGACATTTGTGAATTTTAACAAACTCCGAAAACATTGTCCTGCAATATTATTTCAAAGTGACTACAAAGGCTACGATCTGTGGCGTCACTTGCAATAATGTCAGACAGAAATATGCTAATTCTGAAAAGCAAACGAGTTCAGGCAACCCGCGAAGTCAGTTCAAATGAAATCAATTCAACATCAAACATTAAACATGGTTCCTATGTTGTACAGGTCCGTCCCTGTGCCGTTGGTTATTTAGCTCGGTTAGTTTGCCTGCCTAAATGGAGAGCGAGCGACCTTCGCTGTTTTCGACGGAGATTGGTAATCTTACACACTATGACTAACAGTTATTGCCCAGGACCCACGAAAACTGAAACTTAATTTCAGCTCACACGCGATTTTAGAAAGACAGAAGGTGAAGATACATACCCTGGTCTGTACATTTTTTATGCTGTTCAACGCCTGGAAAGTAAACTTCCTCCAAAAGCGCCTCGTCTTTATTTTTGAAATTTCCCCGCTGTCAAACGATTTCGACGAGCTGCTACATTTAACCAATCATAGTACAGAATGGAACACTCGGGGACGGAAGTTCCGCCTTCAGACGTCATGACGCATTCAAATACAATGCGTTTTTTATATTTCTCCACCGAAAGAACGACAGTATTTACATTTCAGTCATTGGGTAATTACGTATGGCTAACCAAAACAAAACAAAACACGAAAATCAAATGTACGTCTTGAATAATACAATCATTGCCACTATGGAACGATAATTTATTTGAATCATGTGAATACCATAAAGTGAAATACGCACGCGCGTGCTCGCACACGCACACGCACACGCGCACACACGCACACACACACACACACACACACACACACACACACACACACACACACTCACACACACACACACACACGCATACTCAAATAGGGTTTTCTGAGAAGTTCGTGCCACCATTTAACTGCATAATGTTTTATTCATTAAAAAACACAAAACATATAAATAAGCTTACATTAAGAATAAATACATACATTTTAAATGATCACGCAAACAATCAATGCAAAATTTCATAGGTTGTGAACAAGAACCATAGCTACAGATAAAAAGGTTGAGATTTAAATGCAGCATACTGTATGAAGTGGTAGTTTCATTTTTCATTTCCTTTAAGCTCTTCATTGGTCTCACGTGCAGCCACCAAAGAATTCAGGAAATCAAATACAGTAAAAAGACTGTTTGACACAAATGTTCTTTAACGTTGCAACATTAGTATCTTAAGCATACATTGGGTTTTAAGAAATATCCATTCAACCATCTTCTTAACTGCTTATCCTCACTAGGGTCGTGGGTGTGATGGAACCTATCCCAGCTGTCACTGGGCAGTAGGCAAGGTACACCCTGGACTGGTCACCAGCCAATCGCAGGGCACACATAGACACACATCCATTCACATTCACACCTATTGACAATTTAGAGCACTAGTGTCAAGCTCAAGGCCTGGGGGCCAGATGTGGCCGGCCACATCATTTTAAGTGGCCCGCAAAGGCAAATCAAAGATGACAACTTCCATAATGTTAAATCTATACCAAAATTTCACATTTTCACATGTCATAAATCAGTGACATATTGTAAGCATTTTCTTGTGAGCAAACCCCTCATTCCAGTTATTTAAACAATAATTAAATAAAACGTTATTCTTGACTTCTTTATACAGTTTCAGTCATCACGGCCCTCCAAGGGAAACGGTTATTATAATGTGGCCCGCGACAAAAATTAGTTTTACACACCTGATTTAGAGTGCCCGCTAAATCTGCCATGCATGTTTTTGGAATGTGGGAGGAAACGGGACGACTTGGAGAAAACCCATACAGGCAATGGGAGAACATGCAAACTACACACAAGAAATCCCAAGCCAGATACGCACTCATGACCTTCTGCATTGTGAGGCGGACGTGCTAACCAGTCGACCACAGCGACGCCCATTTTTCTTTATCCTGTATATAGCTATTTCGATTGTGTTTATGTAACAGGCGGGGTAATTTGCATTCATAACAGTAGTCATCACAGTGATCTGAAAGGCAACTATCACAGTGGTTTCAGTGCAGGCGGAATCTTGTGATTCACACAGCGAGTTCATCAGCTCCCAATAAAAACATGTTACATACTGTACATAACAATAGATGTTGGTTTACCCAAAGACCAGCTTGGAGTTCTGTGCCGTGGAGTAGCCATAGCACAAGCTTGAGTTCAATGTGCCTTTATCTGTCTCTTATGTTTCTTTTGCTGACCGACTTTTGCAGAGAGGAGAGGTAAGCTGAAGAGGAGGAGGATGCTCAGGTTGACCATTAGGCATAGTAGAGTTACACCCAATGAGTTGGCAAAGGTGATGGGTCGGGAGTGGTCAAGAAGCCAGGGGCGTCGCAATACCATGTCTTGCTCAACGGCCATCATCTGGAAGCGGGTGCCAAGGATGCCAAAGACATGGAAAAGTTGATGGCTGTTACCTGCAGAGGGAGCCGTGACACAGTTAACATGTTGCTAGATTGCAGAAGAACATCTTGACATACACGGGATTTGTCATAAGTCTGGGTCACTACAAAAACTGTACAAAAAATGTCTCAGGAACTGGAAAGGGTGTCAAGATAAAACCGGTTTTGCTTGAAAGCTGAAATATTTGTTCTGCTCTGGTGGTCTTAAACGGGCCCTTGTTACAGCACAATTTAATGTGTGTGTGTGTGTGTGTGTGTGTGTGTGTGTGTGTGTGTGTGTGTGTGTGTGTGTGTGTGTAAAAGTTACCTTAGCAGTCTTAACACAAAGCTAAATAAAAAGGAACAACAATACAGTTAACTTTTTTCATTCAAAATACATTTTGGGTTGAGCTGAGAAAAATATCAGAATCCCCACATTGAATTGATTATTAGTGTTCTTGGAATTTTGTTCTGTGATCATGCAACATTTAAAACCAAAATGTTCAGCGATGAGACAATCTTGCACGTTTCTTTTAATTTAGATGTCAATTAATTGCCATTTATATTGATTGGGCATTTGTTTGTTACATTTAACAAGGGATAAAGGGTTGAGTAATTCAACCCAAGGATTACATTTGATTGAACTGGTTTACATGCAAATGTCAACAGGCAACTCGCAATTTAGTCCGACCCTAGAATGGGACAATTGTCTGGTCACATTCTCCTGCCCAATCTCAAATTCATCTCACCAATAAAGTCGAAGCTGCCAGGCGCCAGGCGCTCAGGTAAATGTGTCGCAAACAGGAAGCCAGTGAGGAAAGCCAATGCAATGTGGGTGTAGTGCAAGACATTGGCATCGTTGTCTGTGCAGCCTTCCCCTTCACATAGGAAGAGCTGGAAAAAAAGGGCATGCAGAACAGGCCATTAGGGTAACATAGGCCTAAGCAATTTGTTAAGGTGTATCACAGTCAGCTGGAAATACTTTTTTTGTGAAATACCTGCATATGCTTTAGTCTTTAGTCTAAGATAAGATAAGATATCATTTATTTGTCCCACACTGGGCAAATTTACAATCTATCTACATTGCTTATCCAATAAAAATAATTCGCCGCTTGTTTTGTGTGCCACTTGTCAGTTTGAAAAAAACCCCATCAGCAATTACCAGCAAGAAACACTACAGTGATAACATCATGCCACAACATAATGATCAAAATTCCCACTTGAATGTGGGAGGAAGTTGAAGTACCCACACAAGCAAGGAGAAGGTACAAATGTGCAAACTTCGCACAGAGGCCCGAATTAACAAAGAATGAAATGATTGATCTGGATGATTTGAAACCAAACTTAATTACTGATGAGTATGCCAACATTTTTTCCAATTTTTCAAGGGGGCTGCGTCCGGTTGTCTTCATCCTCTCTGTTTGTAGGAGGCGTGTTACTCCAGGTGAAACCGAGAAGGAAGTGCACCACCTACATTCGGCATTTCTCACTGATCAAAGTAGTACTGGTCTGATCTCGACTGGTCTTGATCAAAAATCCCGAGTTTACCTTGTCCGAGACAGAGACGAGAAAAAAAGTCTTTGATTCCGAAACAAGACCGAGACCCTTAAAATGTGGTCCCGTCTCGTGACCAAGACCAATCTCGAGAGCTACAACAATCGCTTCCACAGAAGAGGGCCAAGTTTACACCAGCTTTTGAAATTATTTAATAATAACACTCAAATATTTGCATGGTGTTAGCGAAATGGATGTTGATGAGGCTCATTTGCATCGAGGCGGGCATTTTTTCTGCCAATAAATCCACGTTACCTCATTCAAATACATGCAAATAACACCAGAGCACACAACCTGCCGTCAGCCCCAAGCAGCGCAGTTAGTGAAACATTTCACCATCTGCGTGTGTTCTGTGAATTAATTGGATGCTATCTGTTTGCTCCATTTTTACCAGTTAGCTCCGCACAAAAGCCACAGAATATTCTTGTTGGATTTGGCCCCGAATGGGCAGACACTGCTTTTGGCAGTGGTAACCAATGGACAACTGGTCTGCCGACACTGAACGTGGGGCAATCCATCCATTTTCTATGCCCCCGATCATGCTCACTGTCACATGTGGCGTCTATCCAAGAGACGGGAAACACTCAGCATTGATCTCCAGTCAAACACTGAGTGGCTGCGAATGGGGCATTGAGTAAATATTGAAGAACTACGTCTGCATGGGGACCAATTGTTTTTTGTTCTTGTTGTTTTCCTCCATTTTGGACATGTATAATACAAGTGAGGCCCTACCCTGTAGAAGAGAGGAATGTGGTCAAACAGGTAGGGGTAGGCAAAAGCAACAAGACGGAGCACTTTACTGAATCTTGGACTCTGGCATTTAGGGAATCTGAAATAAATGAAAAGAAATCAACTTCAAATATCCACGCTTCCTGCATTATGGCATAACCTTTTATAAATGCATCAAATGGCAACGTGGAAAAACTCAGAAAACAGTAACAGTAAAAAAAAAAAAAAAACATGACATGGGCATATTTGGGAGGAGGGGGTCTTAAAATGGATACTATATCGTGATAAAAGTTTAAATTACATAATTTTACCCCCGCTTCATACATTTATTTGTATTACCCCTTTTGTTACATTCAAACAGGACAATGCAAGAATATTTTATTTAATTTACGTGAGGAGGTTTCTGTAAAACAAGTTTTGCCTCTGTTTATTGCTCCACCCACTTCTAGCTGAGACTACCAATGCAGTTAATCGCTGTTTGTGGTTGGTCTCTCTCATGACAATAACAAGAGACCACGAGTTAAGAATGCCAGTGTTGGACAGATTATCTGAAGGTGAATGATTAAAAACAGAATGACATCGGGTGGAAAAATGACAAAATTTGAGACACAATGCAATAAAGGAAATGCAAAATGTTTACCTCTTTAAAACGTCCTGATTATGATGACGAAATGGTAATCCAAGCCTGATAATTCAACAGATGGGCAAGAAAAACAGTAAGGCAGTTACTGTATGTACATCATGTGATGACAGTATCTACTATCAACAAGTAACCTGCGCTTACTAACTCAGTGTGATGATTTACATGGGCAATCAATCAAACACGCAGTACATTACAGCCAGATCTTAGATGCAAATGTCACCTTTGCTGTGAGATGGTAAGACATCAAAGATTTCCCTAAATTCTGTCATTTGGCACCAAAACACTGGAGAGTTAACAAATAGCTGTCACAGAATTCACAAGACAAATAGCCGGTGTGCTGACAAGCGTGACATACTCCTCCCAAGAGATAGCGATAAGATTTACAAAACATTTCGTACCATACCTGGAGTAGCACGCCAAGCCAGTGCATCCTATGGCGTTCAGAAGAGCAACAGGGACAAAGCACTGGTGGAAGAAGCGGTTTACCCACTTGTCTGGGAACACATAAGCTGAATACGAAATAGCAGTGCCTGAAATGCAACAGATTTGTTATAGAAACTTAACTATCAACAGTTTGATTCATGTCTGTCAATTACATATCGAGAGCTGGGCTTTTCTCTTTGATATCTGGGTACATGAGACAATGTAGTGCACATAATACCGTAATTTAAAAAAATGCATCCATTAACATGCTTTGGTTACTTTCGTTAATTAACCCCTCAGAACACTATTCCAATAATGTTTATACTGCATATACACAGAGAATGACCAAAACATGATGGTCAGCTGCAAAATTCAATACAAAGCAAAAAGTCTTATCAACCATTTCTGGGTTTTGTTTGAGACTCAAGAGGAATTAATCTAATAATATGTTTATCACAATTCAGGGCTTCAGACTAATTTATTTTATTATTTTTGGTTATTATTTTTTTTAACTTGGCCCCAAACCTGGAATTTTAGGGGTGCCAATATCTATATACGGTATATATATATATATATATATATAAAACTATTTTTTTTTCTATATTATTAATAAATGGGCTTAAGTGTAGAGCGGGAGTTTGTCAGCAATAAAAATATTCAATAATCATACATATATTTTTAAAAGTCTACAAATGTACTGGTTGCACATTTGCAAGCAGATGAAGGACTTACCTGCACTGTCTCAAACTTTAGAGGCAACATTTTACCATTTAAGGGCAGTCTGGTGCCCCGTCATGATTTTACAATATGGTTGGCAGTGATGTACAACTGCACTGCATCATCATAGCAAGAGCTCTTTCTTTGGCCTAGGAGTGTATCGCGGTGAAGTGCACACGACACACTCACCCAGGCTGTAGAGACTTATGGCTCCGTAGTCCAAATAAAAGCACATGTGTCGCACCCGCGCCGACATGCTGTTGAAGGTGTGAGCACAGCTTGATGCCAATGGATATATGCAGCTGGAAATGATTAAGACCACCAGAGGCCAGGTGAAGGGGTGCTGCCACGCAGCTTGTATCAGTACAACGCTTACCAGTTTCCATAGGAAGTACCTGCAAGGGGGAACAATTTGATGCAGTCATTCAAACACGTTTTCATCCTTGTGGCTGCAGCAGAAGAAACTTTGGTTTAGGCATGTCCAGTCATTATGGAAGCCGGAAAGTGGATGAGACATAATGTATATTTTGTGGCCGAGTACGCACATTGGGAATGCAATGTTAAAGCAGTAAAAGACAACCTTGCAAAAGTATCGATGGCATCTCATCCATCATTCAACATATTGTATGTATTGGAAGATGTTTTCTTTTCTGCTTCAACCCTAAATTCCTTCCGGGGTCTCAATGGAAAGCAGGAGCTCATTTGCATGGCTTGGGCTTTGAAATTGGACTGTCATGGTTTAAGGTGTTTTATGAGGACTTTTTTTTTTAATGCAACGACATAGTAGGAGAGTTGCTTGTCTGTTTCCTCATCATACTATTAAACTGCCTTCGAGCAAGGCACAGAATTATCTCAACCTTAGCCCAAGAGGCCTACTACTGTTTAGTTGCACTCTGTCATACTCATTGCATTTTTTTTACAGTTTGTAGACAAATGAATGCAACTCTGAAAAAAAGTAAAAATAATATACAGTATACGGTACAAGATAAAATTATTTTGTCCCTTTAAATATACTGTATATAGCATGTTTAAGTTTGCCATACTCTCTCTACTCTGACAATGAAGAATTGTATTCTATTCTAGTGTCAATTGTTTAACTCATCTGGGGATGTGTTGCCAATTAACGTTTGTGAGATCACTGCAGGTCTGGCACACATAGTTGCTCAGAAGCATAATATAAAAAACTTCATCTAAAATTTAAATCAATCTAAGATGAACACCAGACCACCTTCACAGATTGTGACTATTGAGGGTGATGCTGCTGTTTTATTTCAATTTCTTTTATTGATAGCTGTAATAGATGTCAAAATAAATTGCTAGATATGATCATACACTGTTAAAGCTGCTGGGCCAAAATGAACCAAAATTGGATGAAAGAGCTCACCCAGCACAAGATCCAAAATGGACTGAGCCAGTGTTGGGTTATTATACCATGCACATTGGGATGAAGAATTGACCCACAGTGTTAGGCCCACCCAAAACCATCCTTGAACCCAGTCTGCTGGGTCAGAATAATCAACCCAATTTTGGATTAAAGTAACCCAATCTGCTCAAAATCTACAGAAACCCATTGATTGGGTTAGGAAAACAACCCGACATTTTTTCACGTGGAATAAAGCTTCGAACCGCTAAATTTAGCACTCAGACGTGTCATTCCCACAGCCTTTTAAAGAGAGGAATATGATATTGGGCATAGAAAAAAAATGTTTTAACAACCAAATAACTCATTTGTTGTACAGTATTAAAATAGATCCGGAAATTATGTAAGAGTAAGAATGTCAAACGCGCAATGAGCACAGGCACATGACAAGATGGTGCAGATGCTTACCAGGTAGGCAAAAAGTGAGTCCAGATGTTAATGGTCTCATTGGTCAGCTGAAAGAGGCTCAAGATGCAGTCAGTGGCTGAGCTGTGGTGGTAACGGTAACCGGAGATAATGCTGTGCTCATGGAAAACCTCAAGAAAAAAATGACCCCAAAAAATCTCTATGAAAGCATGCATGTAAAGAAAATCTCTCCTGTCGGTTGGGTCAATTAAAAACATGCTTTCAAGTCACTCATAAATCTTACAGAAACTACTTGACTTGGATTAAGGTGGTCAGGAGGACTTTTGTTTGTGGGGTCCCCTATAAATTGCCCCAACTCCCTAAATGATACATCCAACAATCAAAGTTTTTATATGTTTGGGGGAAAGCTTCGAGAAGCTTTGTTTTAACGCGGGAGCCTATTCCAGTGGGCTTCGGCCAGTTGTCGGGGTACACCCTGAATGTTATTGCCAGCCAATCACAACACACACAGAAAAACATTCACACTCACAGTTGCACCTTGGGACAATTTAGAGTGTTTCATTAATCTACCATGTGTGGTTTTGGAAAGTGGGAGGAAACCGGAGTACCCGGAGAAAACCCACAGAGACACGGGGAAAACACGCAAATTGCATGCAGGAAGGCCAGAGCCTTGAAATGAAGCCCGGATCTCTGCAATGTGAGGAGGATGTGATAACTCGTCAACCGCCGTGGCCCTCATCACTATAATTTATCCGGACCTGAATATCAACTAATAATAACCATCCATTTTTAAAGCAGCCTGTCCTCATTATGGTTGTGCATGAGCGGGAGCTTTATCCCAGTTACGTTTGAGCGAGAGGCAGGATACACCTTGTACTGATTGCCATGTCAGATAAAGTAAATAAAAGAAAAAAATTAAGAATAATTTAAAGCAAAATTGCTAACACATAACGGTGTTTGAAAATCACTGATTCACTTGTGATGTGATTCTCTCATGGCATAGCATTTCAGTATTATATATTGTTTGTGACATTTAAAAAAAAACGTGCACGGAACGGTTTCGCAAGAAAATATTTCTTTCAAAAGACTTTTCACTTTTACTCAAAGTGCAGTAAATGTACAGCACTGTTACAAGTTTACAGTTCCTCTAGTCTCAGTGCTATCACTTTCTATTGAGCCTCATCATCTGTAAAACTGAAATAAAACCATGTTTAGAGTACACATTGACCTAAAATGAAAACATGACTACTTTTTTCAATTATTTTACATTTTCCACCCATCTGAGTGACCCGATGTTCCATCAAAGATACAGCAAACTTACTTTGGGCACTTGATTGATGGTGACGACCCTTGGTAATTTCATAAGGCTGAGCATGCTTACTGCAAAGTGCCGCTGTACTGTCTGCAAGTAAGCTGACTTGAGGTTGCCGGCGGGGTGTGCCTCGCGTCTTTATAAGCGTTGTGTTGCCATGTCGCCCCATTGGATTCCTCACTTCACCTCCCCCTTTTTCAAACCCAGCGAGAATATCCAGTATACCTGGGCCACTCCTTCCTCCTCCTCCTCTCTTCATACACACAGACAGAGAAATAGAGGATCAAACAGATGACAACATTGTGACACGCATTGATGAGAGGTATTCAACAACTGCCATTAAAAGCTTGATGGTGTTTAAAGATGCTCCAAAACAAGGGATAAAGTACATGTACATCTTATAATGAGAAATATACTGTACATTTCAGGTCATCACGTGAGAGGCCATTGAAGGACAAACAGTTCCGGCCAAGCCGATTTCTTGCTCACATGCCACCTTCAATCTTCTTCCGACAAGCCAAGGAGACCCACAACAAAAATGTTTTGCTATTCTGGTATTATTATGATTAGTAGTAGTATTTTTTTTTTTTTTTTTTTTTTACTGCTGGAGTCAGTAGCCAATAATGTGAAACAAAAGGTCACACTTACTGGGTTTAAACTCACGTTAATGTTTTATCCCAAAGGTTGATGGAAAACGTATTTAATACCTTACTACTTTAGGATTTGGGTAATGTGATGTGGTTAGTAACACTATGTGATCTGGGTCTGCTTCATTTTTTGTTGACCCTACTAACAAACACAACAAAGTAATGGTAAGAACTAATTTGAGCGCTATTGCCGAGCACCATGGGATCTCATTCTGCTCACTCTCTCAGGGGGAACAACACCGGAGCAACACAGCAGCTTTGGGGGTGGGGGGATATAGTAATTACCAAGAGATACCAAAAGCATCTCATTAAGTTAAATTGTTGAGAAAAAAAAAGTCACAGTCAGACAACAATAACAACATCAAGTTGTGGTGAGAAGGGTACAGTACACTTATCATGGGCATGAATGTCATTAATTTGTATTTTGTAATTTGTACCAAGTACTTTTTCTAAGCATCAACAAGTTTCTGGTCATTTCTTGTCTCAGTGAATATCTGACCACTGTTCCTGGCAGAATTGACCTAGTTTGTTTAAATTGGGTGGTTTCTTATCATGATACATCAGAAACAGTCCATAAATGTTCAATAAGGTTAAGTCTTCCGGAAACCCATTCCAAACGTTCCAGGGAACGAGGCCTCTCGCTCAAAATCACCATGGATAGGCCCCACTCACCTGCAATTCAAGTGAAGATAAGTGGCATAGAAAATGGATTGATGGATGGGAAAAGTGGGCGAGCTGATCACCATGGCAACACTAGGCTTTAAACCTCATTGCATTCCAGTGCAGTATCAATACAGAATCATGAAGCCTTCTCTGCGTGGACCCTCTTTAGCGTCTATATTTCAACTAATGAGTGACAAATAAATCGAGTTCATGTGACATCATCAGTGAAATCAGTCAACCTCATATGACCACGAGAGGTCAGTGTTGTCAAGAGAAAGGGGCGTAAACGTGTTCATGACAAATCATTTCTGGTGCTCGTTTTCATTTAACTCGTCATTAAAATTTCATGAATAGAACGTTTATGATATCATTCACAGAGCACAAAAGCAGTAAGTGAAATACTGCTTGTTTGGGAATTCAGCATACTGTTGGTGAGGGCAGCATACTGTTGCCAGTGGTTAGCACATCTGTCTCAAGGTTAATTGAAGACTTAACATTTCCTATAGGCGCCAATTAGAGTGCGAATGGCTCTCTGGCTGGAGCCTCCGTGCCCTGCGATTGACTGGTGCATGGTATACACCGCTTCAATATGCTCCAGGTCACTCATGATCCTATTGAGAACGTGCCAGAAAATGGATGGATGTTAAGGAGGAACAACTCAAAAGCTTCAGGCTTGCATCTTTTTCACCATATGCCAAAGAGAGCCTCTTGAGGCAACCCTGAAGCATTTGTTACATCTGCAAAACCGGCCTTTCTCACTAACGACTTTTCTTTTCAAAGTGACATAATTTAGTGGCAGGTAACAATCACATTTTGGATTAAAAATAAAGAAAACGGTAATCTATTGTAAATGAGGACCACTCACCAAGTCATTTTCATGCAGGAGAATGATTGTATTTCTTACCGACAAAGTCGATGTCAAGAGGTACTGAAAGTAGAGTTATAGGCTTCCAGTTTTACTATCAACAGTATATATAAATGCAAATGTTTAGAATGGATGACAATGCAATGATTACATCTTGGGCAGCATGGGGAATTGTGGTTAGCGTCTCTCACAAATATGCATCTCAGGTCAGACATATGATCACATATCTTGCAGAAACAGATTAGTAATATGGTTATTCACTCATGCCCCTGTGTACAATTTTGAAAATAAATGTAAACAAGTGTTCCTATTCACAGTTTATTTCCCTTTCTATTACTTCACTAAACAGAAATTAACTGTATGTCGACGCATTATCCATTTGTTAATGTTGGCATATGTTTGACTAAAAAACAAAACAAAACAAACCCCCAGATGTCTATTTGAATGTCGCAGTTGCTCAGCCTCCCTTGATTTTCTGTCGCCGACATGTGTATCCAACTGCATTGTATGCACAGCAGGCATTCTTCTGATACATTATTAAATAGCTGCTTACTCCAGGCACTTTTTGTTCTCTGATGAATTTCGAACATCTTCATTTTTGACTAGAGAGTTCCTGGCAGTGGTCTTGATTTTACAATACAATACAATACATGCTGATTTATATAGCGCTTTCACAGCAGCAGCAGCTGTAACAAAGCGCTTAACAAAACAGTTAACATAATGTAAAATAATAAACACAACACATAACATAAAACACGGACAGTCGTGCAGTCCTAATTTTATTTGAAATGGTCATTTTAACCTGCTGCTTAAAAATATTACAAATAAATATTTGTGGTTCTCAACGAGAATGTAGATTGGATAATTCTTAACTATACTTAGAGTGACAAATGAAGGTTAAAATAATGACAATATCAATTATTATCTGCGTTTCTACTACATTTGGGGCAAGAATAATAAAATACAAAATCAAGACTCAATGCAGCAAAAACGCATTTGTGATTTTGTCTTTAAACCGTGGTATAAGTGTGATCTGAAGCTGAGTTGCAGGAATGAAAGATGGTAATAGGTCCCTCTCAAGTCAGTCCTGTGGCCCTAATAACAAATGATATTCTTGATGCAGACTGGATGTCGCATGTCCACATGGTTCGGCCTGAAATACTGACAGAAAGAGTGATGGACCTTCTGTCAGTCTGGTGGAATGCCCAGCTCTGGTAATTGTATGCATATGGGCTGACAAGTAAATTAAACTTCAACACTTTATTTTTACCAACCCCCCCCCCCCCAAAAGCTACTATATAGGACAGGGGTGTCCACTTTTTTTTTAAACGATTTTTTTTTACCAAAGATCTACTTTTAAAGCAACCAACCCCCCATGATCGACCCATTACCACAATTGTACGCATATACGCACGCCACAATGAGCAAAAGCCAAAACAGCCCCTGATATGAACACAACAGAAAAAGTAGAGAGTTTGTGAAAAGGAAATCACTGCCTACCTTAGTAGAGACCTGAAGCGGAGGCATGGGATGCACTTTTGCAAATGGTGTTTTTTCTTTTTTTCCATTCCATTTTTTTTTCTATCCCTCTACACCCCTCATGTTCGACTTGGGACCAGTCTGCGGGCAATCGACAGGTTGTGCACCCCTGGTACAGTACACTCAGTATTGTTGGAATGTAATGGTGTCACTAGGCCTAAACCCAATTAGCAATTTACAAAAACGATTTACTCAATTCGTGTTCGTTTATCTTTCAAGAAGGCATAGAAGTAAAAATAAAACACACCCAAGTCGATTAAGTTGCTTGTCTGTTTCTTCCAATCTCTGAAGTTCACGAATTGTCCAAAATCAGATCTGGGCTGCTTTTCTATCCTTGTGGACACTCATACCAGGCAGGGTAAGAAAAAAAGAGCACGATCTAAAATGTAACCCTCACGTCTATATCGTGTTGCCCTAACATTGATTTCAAAAGCAGGGATGTCGGTCGATCTCTCCATTTCATCCTCGCCCAACTTCCTCTGTCCTGCTGGCATCTGGTGAGTCACAGTGCCCAGACTCTAGTCCTCAGCTTGTTCCCCAGACCTTGGTTCCTGTGAACATTACCTCCCTAATCTTTCCGATTGTGTTCATGCTGAATCTCGTGTAGTCTAATATGTGTCCTTGTGCATACCTTTTAGCATTCTTCATGTCCGTGTGTAAAACGTTTTCCCCTGTGTTGATGTCTCACGATCATTGTTATACTATGTAGATGCAGGTGTGTGTAGACAGGTCACATTCAAGCACAGAGAGAAAAAACAAGACAACAGGTTTTTCTCTTTTATTAATGCTGTTGATATGAAACGGTTCCATCCATCCATTTTCCGATCTGCTTTATCCTTACAAGGGTCATGGTGAGTGCTGGAGCCTATCCCAGCTGTCTTCGGGCAGTAGGCGGGGGACACCCTGAACCGGTTGCCAGCCAATCGCAGGGCACACAGAGATGAACAAACATCCACGCTCACACCCACACCTAGGGACAATTTAGAGTGTTCAATCATGCATGTTTTTGGAATGTGGGAGGAAACCGGAGTACCCAGAGAAAACCCACTCAGAACATGCAAATTCCACACAGGGAGGCTGGAGCTGGAATTGAACCTCTGCACTATGAGGTCGATGCGCCAACCACTGGACCACCCACCGGGCCACCCCTGATCTAGCTCTCTCTCTCTCTTTCTCTCTCTCTCTCTCTTAGCACTTGATTAACATTTGATTAATATATTGGTTAACATATTGGCAAACCTAAAGCCCTCCATAAAGAATTAGTAATTGTGACCCTGACTCTAATATGAAATAGATCCTTCAGTATGTTTTGTCACTGCACAATTCACAGAATTGTACTGGACAGTGACAAATCATGGATAGATTTATTGAACGCAGAAATATATGCAGAGAGTCTCTCAAAAGGTTGTTTGTCAATACAGTGTGAAAACTGGATGGCTGAAAACAGACAAAATATAAACCGTTCATAAGAAGACTGTCGTTACGCTCTAGACCTCCACCATAGTGGTTCTTTAAGACAGTGATTCTCAAGTGGTGGGTCGGGACCCAAAAGTGGGTTGCATCAACAGTTTTCATATTTTCATCTTTTGATTTTTCTGCTACAGTACAGGTGCGTACCAAGTTCCCAAATGGAACATAATTAATGAAGCAACAGGAAGTGTAGCCGCCTTGCGCTTCAGCCACTAATGCAAAGAAATACAATGGATTTCGGCCTGTGGCTAGTGGACGTCATGGTGAGTGATATGCTTTTGGCGGTTCTTCAAAACACATATTAAACAACCTTTGAACACTATACATCTGTCTGAGGATGGTGGTGAGTAAAGCATGTTCTTCATTGTTCTTTATGTCTATAAAAGTGAGTCACGACTCCCTGACAAAAGCACATACCGGTCGCAGGGTAACAACAGATAAGAACCTCTGCCTGAAGACTCTGCAAAACAGGTACAGGAAGCCAGTCGAGTAGGAGTGGTCAACAGAGTGTTAATTTTATCAAGTGGTTGAATTTATGAAGCCCATAAAGCCAGAGGCCGTTTCAAAAGGCATCTGAATGGCAGCCGAGGTGACAGGAAAGCCCACACCGGAGCCATGAAGAGGCTGAGCTTATGGGCTTTATGATAGGCTAATCACAGGACCGGGAGTGCACTCAACAGTCAGGAGGGATGGCGATATCATTGGAGCCGAAGAAAGCCCGGGGATGGAAGAACAGGTTGCTGTGCTACACAAATTATGGTTAGATAGCAAAAATGCCAGAAGGCGATGAAAAATGCAAGCAGGCACATTCCCTCGGAGGTGTCTGCACTTCTCAATGCATGAAAATAGTGTAATTAGGATTAAATATTAATCTGGGTTGTCTCTCTTCATAGAGGTTGAAGCATGAAGGACATTTAATTTGGGTATGCTGTTTGTCTGCTGTAATGTCAGAGCAGTTCTACATTAATGAGCATGTGATGCAACGTGACTGGAAGAAGGCTGAAAACAAAAATAAAACGGCCAAAGATGACTGAGCCGCGAAGGCCAAACGGTTTCCAAATACAATTAACTGGGTTCAACGAAGATTAATGAAGCATATTGACAGGTTGCCATACTTGGGTGCAGGTGCAATTGAGCTTATTTATAGCCAATGTTAAAGCAGTGGCGGACCACCAGTGTTGGGTTGGCTCAGCCTTCTGAAACATGATGAGAAGCTTTGAACCAAGTTTACTACCATGACCTAATATTTTTCTGTTTCAATTCAATGATGAATACAATTATTACCAAGAGTTTCATCGCTTCATTTTGTAGCAATTCGCCTTGGCTGCACCAGTTCCTGTACACTGTGTCTTACATTTTTTTCTACTCAGATTTGGGCCTCTTTGTGCTGCCATGTTTATCTTTATGCGTAGGACCTTCAGAATCAGTCGTGTTCATAACATCGCAATCAACACAGGGATAGGCAATTTAAATGATGCAGGGGGCTACAATTTTTGGACAGCACTACCAGGGTGCTAAATAGGAGTGACAGGTGTAACACAGATCTAAGACAAAAATGCCTCGGAGGTGTCTGCACTTCTCAATGCATGAAAATAGTGTAATTAGGATTAAATATTAATCTGGGTTGTCTCTCTTCATAGAGGTTGAAGCATGAAGGACATTTAATTTGGGTATGCTGTTTGTCTGCTGTAATGTCAGAGCAGTTCTACATTAATGAGCATGTGATGCAACGTGACTGGAAGAAGGCTGAAAACAAAAATAAAACGGCCAAAGATGACTGAGCCGCGAAGGCCAAACGGTTTCCAAATACAATTAACTGGGTTCAACGAAGATTAATGAAGCATATTGACAGGTTGCCATGCTTGGGTGCAGGTGCAATTGAGCTTATTTATAGCCAATGTTAAAGCAGCGGAGGACCACCAGTGTTGGGTTGGCTCGGCCTTCTCTGCTGGCTGAAACACGATGAGAAGCTTTGAACCAAGTTTACTAGCATAACCTAATATTTTTCTGTTTCAATTCAATGATGAATGCAATTATTACCAAGAGTTTCGTCGCTTCATTTTGTAGCAATTCACCTTGGCTGCACCAGTTCCTGTACACTGTGTCTTACATTTTTTTCTACTCAGATTTGGGCCTCTTTGTGCTGCCATGTTTATCTTTATGCGTAGGACCTTCAGAATCAGTCGTGTTCATAACATCGCAATCAACACAGGGATAGGCAATTTAAATGATGCAGGGGGCTACAAATTTTTGGCCAGCACTACTAGGGTGCTAAATAGGAATGACAGGTGTAACACAGATCTAAGACAAAAATACCATTCAATTTCTGCTTGGCTCTTTGCTCTGCTTTTCATGGGATAACTTACAAAAGGATCTGAACTTGCCAGTAATTATGAATCTGAGAATTCAAATTTATTTTTTGTAAATTAATTTGAAACTAGTGCTATCAGACAATGTGACTGCTTTTAAAATTGTAATGTTTGGTTCCTTTCTTTGGAATGACCTCCCACTGAGCGATAGGCAAGCCCCCTCGCTGCCCATCTTTAAACAATTTTTTATTCTTTTGTCTTTTTGACTCAGAATGAGACTTGAGTTTTAGTTTGACTGTTTATGTCCTTTCTACTTACTGTTTTCATTTTTGTTTTGTTTGTTGTTGTATGAATTATCTTTGCTCTATGTGCAGCACTTTGCATACAGTGGTGGTTGTTTTAAAGTGCTCTGTCAATACAGTTGAGTTGTATTATTTTGTATTGAGCTATGTTTAGGACTTCACATATACTGTATATTATGTGATTTGTGATTATGGTGGGTGACTGTTGTTTTTGTTTTATTGTTGTAACTGTATCTGCTGCCCCATGGCCAGGTCTCTCTTGGAAAAATAAAGGGGAAAATTTTTTATTTTTCTTCAATCAAATTATGGTCAACATCACAATGGCTGATTGAGGAAATTTAGTTAGCCTATCCCTTGCCTTAAATATACAGTATAACATCAGACAACACACAGAGATAGAGATATTAAGAAAATGCCTTTATTTTTTTCCTTTTACATTTTGAAAAAAAAAAGCTAGTTTTAAAGCACAAAGTTTTACTTTGTGTATAAACGTCTCTCGGGACTAAAAAATGGTCGCATTTGCACATTGTGCTAAGACTGGGAAGTCTGTACGACCATTCCGGGTCTCGTGTTGTGACACAACCAAAGTAAACATTTTATTGCATAAATTATGTTGACTCAATGGCAATTATGCAAGCAGACAGTGAGTGGAAAACAACACTAAAATGAGGAAATAGAATGCTGTGCAGTTATTATACGTTGAATAATAATAGCAGCGTTCTTAATTGTAAGTGGTGCACCTCATATCAGGGAAAGGAAAAAAAACTGAAGCAAAAATAGACATTATGATGACAATTATCTTAAATAGAACTTGTGCTTTTGTCTGAAGAGCAAAACATTGAACTTTTCTGCAAAATATTCTAAATAAAAGAGGACAAACAGACCCAGCCCACCCGCATTTTAAAATGAAATTGGCAAATAAATTCCATAAACAAATGACAGCTTTTTGTCAATTTCAGAAGAGCAAGTTTTACGAAACTCTGCACAAGCTGTAGTAGTTAAAGGCACAGTCACAAGGACTGGTTTTCTGAAGTTCATGAAATGCTTGAAATATTTTGCACAAAAATATATACATTTAAGTATTCTCTACTATGCTACCTTGGTATAAACGAAACAGAAATGTTTTGCTACTATTGTAATAACAACAAACTGTATGAAATGAATTCATGGAGAAAAAAAAGAAACAAGCTCTAGCATTCAGAGAAAAAAAACAAACTTTTTTTTCCATGTTGCAGATTATGTATACCCCCCAAAAAAATAAAATAAAAAGAAAAATCAATTAAAAGCTATAGAATAGTGTAACACAACATGAAAGGAAACTTGAACCGATTTGCCCTCCAGTGAGTCCAGTTGTGTATAGCTCAAAAGATAGTTCAGGATCATGAATAGTAATGCCTCATGACAAAAAGAGCGCCATGTTACAATTTTAGCAAAAAAAAAAAAAAAATGTCCCTTTGGAAAATGTAGCATTAAAAAAAAAAAACAAGCGTAGAATTTTTTTGTCACATTTTCAGGACCAAAAAAAATGTAAAATATACTTCGGGACATGTCGCATAATATCGCTCACTTATTGAGTTACTATGACTACTGTCTCCATTTACTGTCAACACCTTTGTATCTTAACAACAAACGAAGTCATGTTGAGCATGTTGTGTTTTTAGCATTCTGGCCCTTTGCAACTGGCCACCACACCCCGTTCATTTTGTTCAAATAAAAACTTCGGTTAAGAATGGAGCCACTCGTCATTACTTGGCTTCAATATCGGCGTGCTGAAAAGTTGAATTAATCCAACGATGCGAGTTAATGAGAGACGAGAGTCATTTTGCTGAACACAATCTGATGCACTAAAGTCAAAATCTGGTGAGATTTGCCAATTTTGAACGATGCAAAATTTAATGTAAAATTTTCCTTTGTGCAAGCTTGACTTTTTTCAGTATGCGTTATTTCAAAAATGCACTATGAATTTCATTAATATGCAATATGTTCTATCACATCATCCTAATTTTTTAAAATGTAATTGTAGGTGAGGTAATCACTAATTATATTACCGCTACATGTGGCGGGCCTACCCTGCCGGAGGTTGCCATGTTCCGCCTCCAGCTTTCTGCTACAGATACACAAAGGCGACAGACTTAGCGAACATAGTTCCTCAGCATCATGATGACAGCCTGTGTAACGAATGCCATGCACTTACTCTGTCACTTGAGGCAATACTACCACTCATTTGGCATGCCATTTTACTTGCCCCTCTGCTGAAAATATTGGTGGTAGACTTGCTAAGTATGGCCTCTCTGAGGCACCGTAGTGCACGTGCTTGAAAAAAGCAAAATGGTTGTTGCATTGAATCAGTTCATCACTAGATGGCACTAAATTCTACACACTCTACCTTTTAACGTGCATCTCACGGTTTCTTAAAAAAATCACCTTTTTAGTACGGTAGCTGTCGACAAGCCCAGCAACTATGGATGATCACATTACCACTGCTGTGCGCAATTATCAGAGGCAAACAAGCACAATATTATTGTATCGCAGGTTCTGCCATGACTACCCATATTGTGCCGAGACAGTATATATGACATTGTTTTTATGGTTTTTTTTGTTTTTTTTGTGCAAAGCCTGTTAATTGATTCTTGTCACAAGGAATAGATTTCTTAGTTTAATTTCAGATTTTTAAAAAAAAACCCAGTCTTAGGAGTCCCTGTTGAAAGCAGAGAGCCTGATTACGTGACTACTGTGCTTTGATTGCAAATATTTGGCAAGGTCAATAGTAGCTTTGTTCGGAAAGTCTCTTTGTTTTGCTGACTCATCGCTTACTCTGTGCAGGCGCTCCAGCCCATTAGTTGGCTGAATTGTAGGTTTCTTGGCGAGACTCAGTCTCAGACAGTGAACTTGGATACACTATATTTAAAAAGGCTAAGTTGTTTGATGAAGTCTGCGCCGAGGAATAATGAGAATGCACTGGGGAGGAAAAAAAAAACGTTGAAGTCTGTTATTAAGTCCCCTCAGGCTTCAGGATTCTTTAGCAACATTTTTCAAAAATCTGTACTTAAAAACTGTTTGAACTAACTACACTTGGCTGCTCAATTCACACATTGGAATGTCGAATTGTGAAGCGAGAACAACTTAAAAGACCGCTCAGTGAAAATGTTGAAAACAGTCCCAGAGGGGTTGAAAACCCTTTCATACAAATAGTTGTGTAAAGTTTTCTTTGCACCTTATTTGATTGCAATGGCCTCATTAACAGTAATGAACAATATGTTGATAATGACTTCACCAAGGATTAGTTTAAATGCTTCTTTTCATCAACTTTGCATAAGCATAATAATAATAATAATAATAAATAAAAGAAAGCTGCAAAGTTGACCAATTTGAAACAATGCTTTGGGCTTAATCGGCAGTTATTGACCATCTCGACAGGTATAGACCATTTACACCTGTTTATACAATAGTGCAAATGCTCCAGTGTTTTCATTTCCCTTGACTCGATCTACAGCTCATTCACAAGTTTGGGTGATAGGAAAAAAAACAAAACTGTGAAGCTTAATGATCGGGCTATATGGGTATTATTATAAGACGGTATTCTCTCTAAAGTAGATAAGCTAGTACACAGATGCTTCTTTCCATGTGTGTATGTTCATTCCAGTTCAATAAAAAAGTAAATCAGTCTAAACCTAACACACACTTGCAAATAGGTTATGATGGAGTCTAGCCTTTGCCTTTGTAGCAGCATTTTGTTAATGTTAAACATAGTTAAACAAGGTACCACCATTTCAGTTAAAACATTTTAAAAAACTGGAAATTCTACTCAGACTCATTAGTGTTCTTCAAAATCAATTGCATTTTTGAGGAACTAAGCATGAAGGAAAACTCACCAAAGTTTGCACACACATTACGCCCGGCGAAGAATTTGATATGTTAAAGTTGCCTTACATAAGTAAGAAGAGAAAAAAAAAGGTATGTAGCGCCCCCTACAGAGGTTTAACGAAGACTTGTGCTGGTACTTACGACCCGCGACTATGAAAATTGGGAGGCACATACAGCACCGCAAGACGTGAAAAAATTACTTTGGTAGCTATCCCCTAAAATGTAAAAGAAGTGAGCTAACAAGATTTGAATTGTACAATTTTTGCAGAATTTTTGCACATTTACAGGGGTCATAGTTTTTCCCAATGTTCAGGGGTGGGCAACTGAGTGAAATGGTTAGGATTGTTATCCAGCTTCTGCAGAACTTGCTGATGAGCTGATCATTTTGAATCAGGTGTGATGGACGTTGGAGACATTCAAAACAGGCAGGGCTGCAACCTTTAAGGACAAGAGTTGTCAAGTGGTTAACCCATGGACTTCAAACACCTGGGACAACAATAGGAGGAGGGGGGCGGGGGGACATTGTCACATACCATTTTATGGGGGCGGGGCATCAAATTTTGCATTGCATAAAATCTTCTAAAGGAAGCAATCTCAGTTCTACGCCTCACCAAGTTCTACGTAAATTAAGTTGGATATGTCATAGCCCACGATATAATTAAAACTATTTTGGGGCCATATGTTAAACCTAACAGGAAGTCCACCATTTTGACTTACTTGAGAATTTGTCAGCATTTTTCGGGGGCTTTGATAGAGCTCATATATACGAACTCATCCGAGAGATTTTATCCAATCGTCTTTTTGTTTCATCTATGTTGGGCGGTTTACAAAGAAAAATCACGAGGTTTTTGAGGGTCTAAACCTGGATGAATACTCAAAACTTTGCACGCACATACGCCCTGACAAAAAACATTTATATTTTAGAGCGTTATTGTCCTATTTGTGGTTATTGTCCTATTTGTCAGAACCCCAATGTGCCAATACCTCAATGTGCGTGTACCTCGACGTGGCCAGGGTTGCGAGGGCCCTTTACAACTAATCGCAGTTCTGGTTTATACTGTGGAGTGTGGAATTCTTAATGCATACTCTGTGATAAGATTTTGCTCTCTTCCAAACATCTTTGAATATATTCTATTATTTACAGTTACTTCCACGTAGGATGAACTATAAAAACACATCTGATGATACTGGTGAATGATTGTTGAAATGGGCTCACCATTTAAAGTGATTTCAAATTGCGATCTGAAGACAAGAAATGCATGCAACCAGGAACTAAGTCTGTGCATGATTACAAACACTAGCTCCTGATAAGACGGCGTGCTACAATTGATGCTGCAGAGAACACAACACCCGTAACAGAGCCCATGCGCTCGAATGTTGAAAGCTGCAGCTACTTAAGCATCCTTGGGATTTAGAAAACACTCTACGCTGCGATGCATACCGAGTGACGCACACTAGATAAGCTTACTCTTCACATTCAGTCAACCCGCAGGTCACACACTGGATTTGGAAGTCTAGTTGTGCTTAGCACGATTCCCTTTCAAGTAGCTTTTCCAGCGCTTCACCACATCCTTGAAGATGGGAGAGTTGTCTATTGATGCCAGCAGCTGGAGCTGGTTAATGTGCGTGGTGTGATAGTCCCAGCGAGCCAAGTTGGGCGCAGTGCCCAACATGAAGTGGCGCAGGTCATAGATGCTCCCCGACCCGGTGTCATAGAGCGGCAGCATGGCCTTCAGCGACTCCATGCCGCGGCTGAACAGCCGCCCGGCCTCCTTGCCCAGCTTCTCTCCAGCTGTCTCGCTCAAATCGTAGAGTCCCAGCAGGGAGTAGATGAAGCCGTTGAGGACAAAGGAACTAGGTGAGGTGGGATACTCTTCATACCAGTCGTATTTGTTCATAAATACCGCCTTGACCCCGTGCTGCGCTGATGGCACCTTATAGGGTCCGATTGCCTTCAGAGCAGCATTGAGGTAAGCGTGGTCCTTGGTGAGAAGGTAGGCTCTCACGAGGGTGGACATTGCCTGGCCTTGGGCCATTGCAGAGTACCAGCCGGGGTCGAGTGGCCGGAAGCCCTCGCCCAATTTCCGTGTGACCATGATGGGCCAGCCGCCATGTTCGTCTTGGTTGCGCCTTAGCCAGTCGCTGGCGGCGAAGAAAGCGTCCATGTGGGCAGTGGTGGAGACAGTGATATTGTCAATGAATCCCCGTCCTTGCAAGAGTAATCGCACAACTCGCTTGGGCATGATCTAAGAAGGAACCCAGGTAAGACCATAATCATTTAAAACAGAAAATGCTCAAAACTTGGTAATTAAGTTGATCCATGTGCGTGTGTCAATAGATTCAAAATGTATGTGGCAGATTAGCTTAAGCACTTTACAGTGGAACCTCAAAGGTCGTTCAAAGAACACGGCACTGAACATTCATTTTCCTTCATTATATTAGGCAGCAGATATTAAGAGTGCAAATATCAATGGCATCGGATTTCCAGAAAAAAGTTTAAGCTGATGCAGTAGAAAAAATAATGACATACGCCACACGCCGCCATATTGGACATTTTTGACCGGGTTACATCATCACTTTGACATGCCGCGTGCTGTAACACGGCACTGTTTATTTTGGACTTGTTTCCTGTTGTTTTGTGCCGGATAGCATCGTCCAGTATTGGCATAATTTAGAGGGCACTCCTAACCGTCTCAAGGTTTAATAGGATCCTTTGAGAATGGGGGGGGATATATAATTAATTAATTAATGGCGGCAGTGGCTGATGAATGCAGCCAGCTCCATGGTCCATGAAACAGGTGCAACCATTCCATTACTGTTGCATAATGTACAAAAGTGTGTCTATACAGATTTTATATAGATAGCCAGACAGACAGACAGACAGACAGATAGACAGATAGATAGATGTGTGTATTCTGCTCATATTTAGTCATGATGTATAACTTTCACATCTTTCTAATCTGCAAGTTAACTGTAAATTTTGACACAGTAAATTGCACTGCTTCTGTTGCTTAATTTTCCCTCAATTCCTCAACAGCATCCCATTTCTCAAAAGTGTTGTCATCACCAAATAAAGCCCAATCAATTATTAAATCACTCATTATTGTTTCAAATTAGCTAATTTCTGCACTCAGGGTACTTCATATTTACTTATTAGAAAATTTGAGGTTGATTTATTCGTTCGTATAATTTAATGCTAAGGGTGCTGCGGATTATTTTTGAACTTTGGAATGTCCCTTTTTTCCCCCCAGAGTATGATACATTTATATGTATCAATCGTTGGCAGGAGAATAAATAAAGGTTTGATGATGGAAACAGCGAATGTCAAAAAGATTTATTCTACTGTAAAGCCAAACTAAATGGAGGTCGAGGTTCCACTGTCTTCACATAAAGTGCAAATGTACTTGCTAGTTATCACCACTGCAGCTTCCGATTACAGTCAAACCTCGGTTTTCGAACGTCTCTGTTTTCGACCAAAAATTTCGACTTTTTATGCCTCGGATGACGACTGAATTTCGGTTCTCGAACAAACTGAGCGCACTTGAATGCGTCACTTGACTCCTCTCGCCTTCCTGACATGAGGAAGTGACGCTTCCTCGTTTAGCGTTCCATGGTGAACAGACGTGTTCAATAAATATATATTTTTTTAAAAAGAGCGTGGTTTCGATTTTTGAACAAATCAGTTTTTGAACAGCCTCCTGGAATGGATTGAATCGAAAACCGAGGTATGACTGTACTGCAATAGCCGTGTGACAGTGTCAGTGCAACATTGTGCAGCATTAGCAGGACACCAACCTTCGTGACTTTGACTGCCTTCGTGTTCGACAAACCGATGCCTTTCCTCAGATCTGTGAGCAGGTCACGTGTGAGGGTGCTCCAAGTGGTTCGTGGCCCAATGCCGTAGGTGATTTCACGATCTTTGAAGGCGATGAGTTGCGTATTGGTAACATAGTGGATGGTGAAGGCCGAGCCTTTCTCTGTAGTGTCGAGGATCACAGACAAGCTGCCGTTGGAGGTGAACCTAATGTCCAAGCTGAGGATGAAGTCTTTGGTGTTATCTAGAAGGAGGGACACTGCCTCCAAAGACTCTGTGTGGACAGAGAGAGGTGGACAGAGAGAGGTGGACAGAGAGAGGTGGACAGAGAGAGAGAGAGAGAGAGAGAGAGAGAGAGAGAGAGAGAGTCCAATATGTTAAAATGCAGGATAAGAACCAAGGCTCTGAAAAATGCAGACTATCCAATATCATTTTTTTACAGGTTCAAAAACAACTTGCATTTCCTGAGTGATCCAATATGACAACAGACTATTCTTAACCCAGTGTGATCCCAAGATAAAGCAATTAAAAAAATAATAATCTTTTTCACTATTACAGTGTCTCTCGCACAAACAGTGTCAAGCTATTTCAGGACGCATGTGACAGATGCGTTATTGCATGCTGCTCTTAATTAACAGTAGCAGAAGGGAAGGAAGAAATAGAGAGGAATCATGGGTAAAGTATAACACCATGTGGCAACGCAGTACGGTAATTTTTTTTTCTCAATTTGTAGCTTGATGTTAGTCTGCCACAACCCCTCTTTGTCGGGATTATCTCTGTTCAAGCACAATTATTTCAGTATAGGTTTTATGAATTCACTGCTATCCCTTGAAGTGCCAGCAGTTCTCAGAATAATCCTCGATGCTACTTCTCATTCTGCACAACCAAAGGAGCTCCAAAATACTGACAGAAATCACTTAAAAGTTGGTGAGAGGTGAAAGGAATAAAAAGAAGCCAAAAGGAGGATAAGTAATGGGATGATGGGCCATAAAAGACATTGCAGGCAGTCAGACAGGAGTGAAAAGCTAACAGAAAAGGCAGTTGACAACCACAGAGAGAGAGAACAAGGCGAGGACCACAGACACAAAGGGAGTCATCAGGAGGAGAAATGAAGGAGAGAGACAGTCTGGCAGGGGCCTCTGGATGACGACGACTCTTTAATGCACTCATAAATCCATTAATTAAGATAATGCAGAGAGTAAATGGATTTGGACTCTGGCCCTGTGATTACCTTGCCATCAATAAAGGATGGGTAAAGAATAAAGACGAGATTCCACCTCTTCTATTCCTCCCTGTGGCTGTTTAGTAGAAGGCGACAGGGATGTCATGTAGTTAATCGACAGTATGTCTGCTCCAAATTCAACTGAGTGGCTCACCACGTTCAAAAGGATGCAAAAGTAGACAAAAGGATCCAAGTACAACTCAGTCAAGGCACATGACTGTGCACAAGACATACGTAGAGTAGCGTGACAACTCATAGGAAATTATAAAATGATGACTATGTAATGCCAATGTGAAAACAGAACACCAATGAAAAAGTACATAAATGATCCGAGCAACACAAAAACTGGAGTATTTTGTCAATATGACACTAAACATGAATGAAGCTGCTTTTTTTTTTTAACTATCAGCAGGGTCTTCGTGGAATGCGTCAATATAAGACAAAGCAGAACAAATATGAAGTACGTCGAAATATATAAACCACCATCACGCTAAATCAAGAACCGTTTGCCGCATATTATGCAGAGCGTGCTTCCTGTGTGGTCAGTGTTTTTTTACTCATTCTTGCTAGCTTGTGGATTTAATGGATTTAATGCAAGCATTACGCGATTGAGATAATGACTATAGCTTCTTGACATGTCATCGATAGACTCAGGTCACGTTTGAAATAATATATTTTTCAGCCTTGGATAATAAGTAAAACAGAAGTACCGTATTTCCATGCTTTCATCTGTGCCGTCTGGTCCAAAGTGGCCTGCGGCCCAGTACTGATCCGCGTTTAAATCATCTGATCTGTTATTCAAGCTTCAACAGCAGACAGTCTACTTAAACTACTACCACTCTAACATTTATAAATTTTCATATTTTTATTGGTCACACAATGTAAAATGTTCACAGTGAAGGGTGGAAAAAGCACCCCAAGGCTAATCAGGCCAGGAGTCAAGCCAACCAAGAATCCAATCAATGTGTGATTTGTGGCGTTGGCCAAAGCTGCTCTACCCTATTAAAAACACGCAGGAATTCCAGCTTGCTATTCACCCCGCAATACAAAAATACCTGAAATGAGCCATGCCTCATAGAAAAACGGTTTCAAAAGACCCACAATTAAAAATTGTTGATTTGATTTGACATTAGCATACCCAACCTTGAAGTTTGCAAAAAAGAGCAACTGGATTTTCCATAGAACTACTGACACACTATTCTTTAGACAGATGAAAGTGAGTTCAGTTGTTTGGAAGGAACACACAATGCTATGTGTGATGAAATAGGCATAGCGCAGCACCATCAAAACTTCATACTAAATGTGAATGGTTAGCCAGGGAAATCAGAAATCTGTGAAGTGGTGCACTTGGAGACCACCGCCCACAGATTTTATGTGTCCGTGTGTGAACCCGTGTTAAGTCAATTTCGTACTTCTACAGGTAAAAGGTAGCATGTTTTGTCTGTTTATTAATTAACTAATGTAATATATCTTTTTTTTGACACTTTTTTTCTCTTTTAATACTATTCTTACCATAAGATCCAAAGCAGTGCCCCACAAAGTCTTCCACGACATCACGGAAACCAGCAACCTGCCACTACAGAGACCAGGGTTTCCCACTAGTCGGGACTTGCTTTTGGGTGTGTGATCACAACCTCAGGGATGAGCTGGAAATATGACGATTAGTTTGAAATGCTAAAAGTGATTCATTTGAATACACTAACATAAGATTGGTGGTTTCTTTTATTGCACTTTTTTTTTGTTTGTTTCTGCAGTGACAGAAAATGGTGCAGTGGATTTGGGACCATTCAACCAAGCACGTGGCAATACAAGGTGCTCAGTGGTGGACAGTACAGGAATAAGCAGAACCCACATAGTGGTTAATGTCAGGGGACTGACAATTGATCCACTTGTCAGACCATTTGAGATGGTGCTCAACACTTGCACCCAAGAAAGAGTAAGAACAAAAAAATGAGAGGAGGAGAAGTGGAAGAAAGCAGAAGTAGACGAAGAGGGAAAGATATGAGTGGAAGAAACGATGCACTGTATGTAAAGATGGGCTTTCTAATAAGAAAGCAGAATACAGACTTAAAACATATGGCGTAAGGATGATTGCTAAGTACAATGTCTCGGCAAAAAGACAGAAAAGTGGGTGGAAATGAGTAAACAGTGGTCGATCATAGCCTGAAATGTGCAGCTGGACAAGAGAAATAAATGGAGGATTAAGCGTACTGAGAAAAGACTCAGAAGTAATGATGAAGGCGCCAAGGCAAGAAAGCGATGATTGGAAGTTGAGTCGTAAAGCAAGGTGAGAAAGGACAGGAGAAGGAGGAAAACAAAGTGTAGAGCTTGGCAAGTGCAAAGAAATTGTTGATGATGACAGGCTGAAAGCGGGAAGAAGAGGAGGAGGAGGAAAATTACAGTCGAGACAGCAGCTCAGTAGAGGACAACCAGAGAGAAAAACAGCAGGTGCTCTGGACAATCATGACAGCTCACACACTAAGCTCTGGGCGGAAAATTTTAAGTTCAGTTTTATAGTCACATTTTCCTTTTACCATAGCTTGAATACTTACACCCTATACACACACACACAGGTACAAAATAAATTTATCACATATATGCGCACATGTAAACAGCGGGTAAACAGTCAATGTTTCGATATTTTTGAAGTGTGCTGACATTTTGAACAGCAACCATCACGTCATATTTGCCGCTCCTAGTCAGGAGTCACAGGTGAAATGTTGCTAATGTCACGAGCAGCGTTGTCATTATCGCGTTCTTTGATGCTAAAAATAGCGACATTGTAACAGTGAAGACACAAATCGTTGCTCTCGCTCGCTTGTACTGCACACACACATGCGTGTCAAACAAGAGCACTGGCTTTAAAAACAAAAGCACCGTATATACTTTTGCTTTTTTTGTTTGATTTTGTCCATAGACTGGTAGGGCCAGAGACTTTCGGGGGGCAGCAAGTGGCCAACGGTCTTTTTTTTTTTTGTTTTGGTTTGTTTTTTTGCCCAGGTCTTTTCTAAAATGTCCAAAATAAATTTGGTCTTTTGGCCATGGGATGAAAATGGTGTCAAATGAAGATGAAGCAAAAATATTTAGCTAGCAACTCGTCATTACAAAATAAAAAGAGCATGTTTTATGTAAGTTATTTGCTGTACAATATTTTGAAGGGTACAGCAATGTTCGAAGATACTTGTGTTTGAAATGCTATTAAACTGCTTTGGATTCATAATTTGTTGCCTATATTTGTAGTTTAAAGTGTGGTAATATGGTTTAAACTATAAATGAAGGCAATTATAATCACTTTCAGTTGAGCCATACAGTGGTCTATGGTTCAATGTTGGCCAGCTATAATCACCGGTAATATCAACAAGAAGGCAGGCACAAATACAAATAGGTGAACACTGAAAACATCCTTACTTCAGAGCTGCAAGTAATTCTGTCCTGTTCTGCTAAAACAGTGTGTAGAAATATTAGATTTTCCACGTTCATTCATTTTAAAAACCCACTTTGGTGGAAGGCTTCGCAGTGGCCGACTTTACATTATTCGCAAGTGGAGATATTTAGGCACGCCAATCTCCTTCACAGACTCCAGCGAGACTGTTATGCTTTCGCCAAGCGGACCATGTGCCACACATGCACTGAATTTAAAGAGAATGGGGGGAGCCGCTTCGATTGGCTGGGAATCAAGTCATCTGCGTTCACTCCCACAGCGGCGCAAACTCCTATTTTGCCTGTCCGTGAAAATGCCAAGAAAACTCCAACCATGCTCAAGGTTACACTGTAGTTTGCACTAAGCTTGTGCTGGGCACGAAAACAGGGCCCTCAGTGTTTTGGCAACCTTGTGCTGGGCACGAAAACAGGGCCCTCAGTGTTTATTTGTGATGGAGTGTTGACTCCATCACAAATAAGCCATGCTACCAACGTAGCACCTGTGGCTAATGTTTGCTTGTTTACAGATTGCACAGTGCTTATCTTTTGCATGTTCACGTTAGTGAGGTGTGTGGCCTTGGTCAGAGATCTGAGGGGGGAGTAATTGGTGAAGTGAGGCTACATTGTAGTTTTTTGGTGGGGCAGGGCGTCAATTATGTTTTGTTCGCTATTTGTAGCAGGACTCAGTCCTTATTGCCCGTGAAGTGGAGTGTACAAAAATGCTGATCTGGACTGTGATTTATAAAACTGTCAAGGTTCTCAGCCTTTCAAGTTAGTCTGACACTAATCTCGGATAATGTCTACTATTTCCTTGAGTAATATTATTTTTAGGAATCCGTCATAACACACTGGGTCCACTGCCAACCAATGCATTCTGCTGCTATTATGACAGTGTTCAAGTGAGTCACACCGCACATATAAATCATTCTGCCCTGAGGGTGTAACTCATATCGAACCTCCTGCAGCCGCAGTTAACAAGTGATAAATTCTTTGCCTCAAGGCCATCTGGGCTCGTGGAACGCGTACATACCTGGAGCACTGAACTGGCGAACTGAGGAAGCACGGCCCTTGTCCTGGACACGGGTGAGACTGCAGCCCTTTGGCACACTCCATATTGCCGTGCTGGCTCGGCTATCTCTTTCCTCAGCTGTATCGTAGACCACCAGGTGCGGTGGACGCTCTGTTAGGTTTTTGCTGTAATGACTCAGGCCGTACTGGGCAATCTGGATGGCATAGAAGTAGCCCTGAGGACCCCACTGAGTGGACAGAGGCACACCTGTGGAAGAGAAAGAAGAAAATGTTCACGAGAAAGGACAAAATGTTCACAAGCTACAAGGACATTTCTTAAGTGCTTAAGTCCCCCAAAAACAACGAGCCAGACAATGTCATAAAAATCACACGCACAGTACACCGATACAATAAATACCTCGAGGTTCATTAGAGACACCAATGACACTCAACGGTTGTCCACACATGAAAAAATAGTTTTGGAACCGTACACATTGCGCAATAGTTCAGTGGCGTTCGGTCACCTCGCTCAGTCTGCAGCATGCCAAAGTAGTCAAACTGTGTACTGATACGTGGAATTAACTTCATAGCTTCCGTGGCTTTTTCCAGTTACAGTAATCTTCAGACACGATGTTGCACAGGAGAATGGTGACAACTGTTAAGTGTGTTTCTCCTATCTAATTTCCTTTTATATAACTCGAGTTTTGAACATCCTAATACTGTACTAATTTGGCAAATCTATGGAATCTGGGTACATGCCTGCAAGTGACATGACAACATGTATCGTGTAAAGTATTTTCAAGCATTCAATACATGCAGGCAAATGAAGGCAATGTGCAACATGAGAGGTCGCCTGACAAACCAGCATTTTTCAAATGGCTTTAGCAGAATAAAGTATTCATGCAGCTGATGAGCAGTCTTTGGAGACAGAAGCGCTGCAATTGTCAATCGAAAACAGTTGATGAAAGCAAGACAGAATCTGATTGGACTTAGAACATTCAATGTACTACGCATAAAAATTGTCCAGTGTGCAGCTTTCTTGCCTATGAGCTCACAGATTCACAATCATTCAGAATCAGAATTCTGATTCTGATAAAAATTATCCAGTGTGCAGCTTTCTTGCCTATGAGCTCAGACATTTTAATCAAAAAAATGTTGAATGACACAATATTTAAAACCTGTATAGATCTCATGACCATCATTTGAAATGAAGGGGATGTTTTTTTTCTGAACCAAACAAAACAACCCCCACCCCCCCAAAAAAAAAAAACAGGCCGAAAGAGGAAGCCCCGGAAAATAACTGCTGACTGTTTGTTTCACAGTAGGCCCAGTGTTCTTTTCTTTGTGCACACAGCAGAATTGTTAGTACCCAAAGGCTTGAAAGAACTTTTTTCTTTGAGAAGCAGTTTTGCAAATTAACACCTTCATTTGAGGAGCAACTTTCCAATTTTGAAGAGCATTTCTTGCAGGCTCATCTGAGGGACCTGCACCAAGGGTTTAATTTAATAACAATAAATATACGACAACATAACAAATGAACAACTGGTTTCCTTATTGACATGATTGATTTGTTTTATTTCTTAAAGCCACTATGTGAATAGGAGAACCTTGCAGCCCAGTTTCTGACAAGAGATCAGAACATATTAATATTACTCCAAGGTCTTACATACGCCGGCTCCCAATCAGATGCAGAATACATTTTAAAATACTGCTGCTGGTCTTGAATACAGCTCAAATCTTGCCGAACGTGAGAGGTGTAAATATTTATGCTCGTGATTGCTTTATACAAGTTAATAATAATTCGAGACTCAGCATCTATATACAGTACATATTGGGGGGGTTTCAACAGTAGCCCCTAATAGTATTTATAATTGTACCAAATGTACCAATGAAAATAGACACGCGCATAATCTCTGTTGCCAAAATGCAAAGCGGGTCACACGAGCGCCTCAGTTAATGGGAACAAGATGGATGGAAAGCTGTGCTTTATAAAGCAAATAGTGCTAGTTAAGTTAGATGATCGTCAACATGGCAAAGGACACATCCAACCAATATTTATTTATTTCATTTATACAGGAAGGGTGTAAATTGACGTGCGTTCCGCCTTGTTTGTGCAGTCTGACAGGCGGACAGAGTTGGAGCGCCTTCACTGTACGTACCAGTAGGAGCATTAAAAGATATACTCGTGCTGTGCGACCAGATGAGATTTTTACTCGCACAATTTGGAAAAAAACGAGGGCATTTGCAAGCATAACGGTCGGACTTTTGAGCCCTGCAGCGTGTAAACGGAACTTCTGTGTAACACACAAAGGATATTTATTTGCTGCCACGGAGGAGACATCGAGTTTTATGTGGCGGCTTTGGGGCATTTACAGTCAATAGTAACTTTTAAATCACTGTGAGATCTATTATTAAGAGTAAAAAAAGACAGCATAACTATCATTATGAGTTACGCGAAAAGCCAATGACGGATGTATAATGCGAGAAGCACAGCAATGATCTGTCCGCACATCCATGGTGAGACGGTACATGTAACAAAACAAGTACCTAACTTGGGACATATATGCTACAAAAATGTGTACATAACTTGAAGAGTCTGTAAAAGGGGTTGTTCACAACTCAAGGTGTATATCGTGATACACATTTCAACCATATCACCCGGCCCTAGTTCTTGTTAAGAGTAAAAGTAATAATACTAATACATTTTTGTTTTTTTGATATGTGTGCATATGGTGTTTCTGTCAAATTTCTAAAATTAATGTTGCCCCTGAGCCAACATGTTTGCCCACCCCCGTGATAAATGGACGACAGAGAAAATTATCATTCTGTTAAATCTTGTGCAAAGTGACTCCATGTCTTTTGAAATTACATATGTACTTATTGTCCAGAAAATAACTATTTAGATAAATTAAACAATTATGGATAACATGAGAGAGAGAGAGAGAGAGAGAGAGAGAGAGAGAGAGAGAGAGAGAGAGAGAGAGCATCAATGTTTTATATCTAGGATATGCATCGTTATATTGCCCACCTCTATAGTACACCCTTCGATCAAGCCAATTAAGAATCGAGTATTCAACAAGACCATGGTATAGTACTGTGTGCTGTCAGACAACCATTGTAGTCTACACATCTTTTTTAAAACATTAATAATTTTTTGTTTTAGAAAATACAGCTGTTGTAACAGTCCTGGAAACATGAATATTTTTTCCATACAATAGTTTCCATTTGCCATACTATTTCAGATTTGGAAATGAATGAAATCAAATTTCAAACTATTTCATATTTTCCAGACTTTGTAGTCTACGTCCCCGACAACCGAATGGTAGCAAACTGTTCCGCTCATAAATATAATGTGTCTGAATTGAATCGTCATCATTTTTTAAAAAATTCTATATACAGTCAAACCTCGGTTTTCAAACGTCTCGGTTCTCGACCAATTCGGTTTTCAACCAAAAATTTCGAGTTTTTTATGCCTCGGATGACGAACAAATTTCGGTTCTCAAACAAACTGAGTGCACTTGAATGCACCATTTGACTCCTCTTAACTTCCTTACACGAGGAAGTGACGCGCTTCCTTGGGTAGACGAGGAAGTGACGCTTCCTCGTGTTGCTTTCCATTGTGAGCAGACGTGTTCAGTAAACATTTTTTTTAAAAAAAAGAGCGTGGTTTCGGTTTTCGAACAATTTCGGTTTTCCAACAGCCTTCTGGAACGGATTATGGATGAAAACCGAGGTTTGACTGTATTTAAATGTGTTTCTTTTTTTTGTTCACATCTCATTTTGTCTCTTTTTTTTCTTGACAAGCTGTCAATGTTGAACATGCACTGGGCAGTGACACATCTTGGGAGGAGAGCACGGTGGCTGACTGGTAGCAGCTCTATTCCACTCCTAAAATCGCAAAACATAACATTGTGTAATATAAAACTCATATTGTGGTTCTATTCTGCAATATTTTTGTACACCGAGATGAATGTTGCTTGGAGACCTTTAAAGATCAAGAGCTTTGTTAATTGATATACTGATCAATTGAATATCATGTAATCATCTAGAGACTGCTCTTAAGATCTAATTTAACAGTGAATGAACAACTGAAGTCATGCACATGCGGTCCAGTCAGAAAACAACATCAAGCAAATAGCCTTACCTTCCACTCCACTTATGCATTTCACTCGGTCACGGACCTCCACATTGTATCCCTCAAATGACATAAAAACCCCATTTGGGTGATAGGGCTCTCGCTGCGCATAAACCTTTGAGTAACTATGCTGAAACTCAAAGCGATCATAGCCATCATACTGCACCACTTTGCCATACACCTCAAAGTATTTTTCCATCCAACTGAAAGGCAGATAGATCTCTCCACCTTCACGTCTGCCTTTGACCGTGGATTCATCATTAATCAGGCAGTCAATTTCCTCATACTTGCTTCCACCTACAACAGGTGGAGGTTCTGGAGGTTGTGGAGGGTGTTGCTGGCTGCTGAAGCTACTAGCATCCCCCTCCTTGGGACTTGGGGCCCCCAAAGCAGCTCGCGGCAAAAAACGCAGGGAGGTGTTACTCGAGCAGCGATTCCACAGTAACACAGTGATGAGTGTGAAAAGGGCGCAGATGACAATGAGGGTCTTATAGTTGACTCGAGCAGCCAGGCAACGCATGGTCACAACTGCCCTGAAAGAAGAACAAAAACAACGTATTACAGAAAATCAGAAACAAATTTGTAGGGTCCAAATATCAAATCTTAAGGTGGAGGCTCTAAGTATGCCAACCTTCAGCCGTGTCGTCTGCTACAATAAATAAAATAGGAGCAGTAGCTGTCAAAACACAATAAACATGAAACTTTCATGTTAGAAAGTTACATAGTCCGTTCAGTAGAACAGAAAAGATTCAGCATTGTAATGAAAACATCTTAACTTAGCCCGGATATGTGGCTATCTGTCTTCCTCCATTATATTGCAGAGCCAATTAAAAAAAATGAATTACAAATTTCTGCCCTGCAATTGGCTGGCGAACAGTTCAGGGTGTCCCCCGCCTACTGCCCGAAGACGGCTGGGATAGGCTCCAGCACCCCGCGCGACCCTTGTGAGGATAAAACGGAACAGAAAATGGATGGATGGATGGATAAATTACAAATGTCATCCATCTGTCCATCTATTCTCTGTCCTGCATGACCTCACTCGGGTGGCAGGTAAGCGGGAGCCATACCCAGCTGCCTTTGGGACTTCTGGAAAGCAGAGTTCATTTTCACTGACCACACCCAAACCTAATTACCTCTTGAACGTTTCAATCAAGAATTCGGCGAAAAGATCCCAAAATGATGCAACAAAATTCCATGATCAAAAGAAATTCAAGAACAGATGAGAAATAATGCAATTCGCATTTATCAGTTGGGAAAGGGTTACAATTCCATTCCTAAAGGTTTCGGACACCAGCAAAGCACAGTGAGAGCCTTTCTCCACAAATAGAGAAAACATGGAACAGCGGTGACACTTCGCGGGAGTGGCCGCACTTGACCTCAAGAACACAGCTCGGACTCATCCAGTTAGTCAGAAAGCAACCCATGACAACATCCACAGAACTGCTGCCCTCCCTCACCAGTCAGGTTATGGTGGTCCTGTCCTTGTCACATATGCGTGTTTCTGTTACCAGTAGTCTAATGTGGATGATATATTAATGCTTACAAAGACAAAGACAATATGAGATTTGCACGGAAGAGTGGGCCAAAATACCTGCTGCAATGTGCGCAACTCTAGTCAAGAACTACAGGAAACATTTGACCACTGTAATTGCCAACTGATCTTAGAGATAAAGATTTTGATTGTCTAAATATTTATTTTCTGTAAGAATATAAATAGAAACAGTCATACATTGTGATTTCTTGGATTTGGGGAGTCTCTCCCAGGTAAAATGAACCATTGATCAAAATTGCAGTTGTCTCATCTCTTTAAGGGGCACTACTTACACAACCAGTTATAATATGTTCATAAGGGGTTAAAAATTGCAGTACAAAGATGCTAAATATGAAATAATCACTGAAAGTTGGAAATAATCATTGAAAATTTGAAACTTACATCTTGGCTCATGGTGGCTCGAAACAGTTTCAAGGAATAAAAAAAAGCACAATAGGAATATATATAATTACTGGGATACAGTATAAATTACAGTGGCATCTCTACTTACGAAATTAATTGGTTCTGGAAGACATTTCTTAAGTCGAAAATGTAAGTAGAGACGCATTTTCCATGTAAATGCCCTAATTCGTTCCAAGCCTTCCCCCCCAAATTCGGACATAAATGTTTCCTAAAGCATAAAAACGCATCCAAATATGTAAAAAATACATGCTGCGATTAGATTATTGCATAATAAACGAGAGTTGTGCATTATGTAAAAAAAAACAAAGAACAGAGGAAAGAATAAAAATAATGGTCATTTAACTTACTGTAAGTGCATCGTCATCGTTTTTTTGCCCTCTTTAGTCCATGTTCTCTCGCAGGAGTGTTTTTTGCCTGGTGATTTGTAAAGAACTGATCCAAGGACGTTTGTTTTGTCAGCTTTTAACAATCCTTTGAAAATGTCCAAGGCAAATATCAGCATAGTTAGCGATCGCCCGCCTGGTGAACTTTTTCTGGGTGATTCACATTTCCCTATCAGAACATCTCATGGGCCGATGAACGAATGATGAGTACGCTGCATATACACATTTCTATCTATCTACACACACAGACACGTACGGTAGAATTCCCTCTTAGCCAATGGGATGCCAGGATGATGCTCGGTAATAGCCAATGGCAGAGCACCTATAAGTATGTTGCATTCAGGAAACTGTGAGCTGCGACGAGCAGCCCAGACTGTATTTTTACCTTTCGTATCTTAAAATTTATTTCATAACAAGAGGCAATATTTGCCTGTTGAGATGTTTCATAACTTGAAAATTTTGTATGAAGACCTTCGTAAGTAGAGGTACCACAATTTTAAATCAAACTAATTGCGGCGAAGCCACACAATTGTCATTTTATAATGCAGAGACAAGCGGAATGTCACACTCCACCCACCACCGCAAGTTAAATCGCAACCTGTGAGAAATGCCACACACCACATTACATTATCAAAATGCAAGAATCTGCTTGATGGACACAAAAGGATGAAGGTAAGTGATGTGTAAATGTTAAGACATGTTTTAGATTCTTTGCCCGCACGGCAATTCAACCACTGAGGCGAAGTGAGCGTTGGAGTTGGAGCTAGTTGTTGATCATCATTCCAGAGAACTGCTGCATCAACAAAATAAAAGGATGGCAACATAGCTCAGGTGGTACAGCGGTCATCTCCCAACCCCAAGGTTGCGGTTTAAATCTTGAGCCCCTGTGACCATGTCAAAGTGTCTTTCAGCAAGATACTAATGATAATGACTCACGAGTTGCTCTCAGTAGGTAAATGAGACATTGTTAAAGTGCTTTGAATAACTTGACAGGACAAAAACATATTACAAATGAAAGCCAAAAGCACAATTGTGTATGAACCCAAAGAAGGTTCCAGTACGAGTGCTACATGACTATGCAAAAGGCAAGCCACCACAGCATTGTTGTTTTAAAAATGCTAAACAACCAGGGTGCATACAATTAACAAGACTACACAAAACATAACAATACAATGTTCACAAAAATGACAGGGTGGCACAGGCAACTGGACCAAGAATGAGGCTCTGGCCTCCCTGTGTGGAGTTTACATGTTCTCCCCGGGCCTGCGCGGGTTTTCTCCGGATACTCAGGTTTCCTCCCACATTCCGAAAACATACATGGCAGGCTGATTGAACACTCTAAATTGTCCCTAGGTATGACTGTGAAAGTGGATGGTGGTCCGTCTGTGTGTGCCCTGCGATTGGCTGGCAACCGGTTCAGGGTGTCCCCCGCCTACTGCCCGAAGACAGCTGGGATAGGCTCCAGCACCCTCTGCGACCCTTGTGAGGATAAGCGGATCGGAAAATGAATATATATATATATATATACACACACACACACACACACACACACACACACACACACACACACACACACACACACACCCTCCTTTCCCATGCTACCCACCTTCACCTTTTTACTAACCTTGCAAATGTCACTTTTTTTTTGTCATGTCGCGAGCTACTGAAAAATGGATCGCGGACCGGATATGGCCCCCGGGCCCAAGTTTGGAGACCTTTGTACCACAGTATTACCAACATGAGAAGCCTGGCAAGTGTATTAAAATGCTCACTACTGCTGTCCATTTGAATACATTTCACAAATGACTCAGTACATCTGTTCTAGTATGCTCTAGGGTTTTGCCATGCGTATCGTTTTAATACCGCTTTGAGGTATTTTACAAAGGTAAAAACTCAATCAAACTAGTCGACGTCAGTGAGGTACATCGCAGTTTACAGCAACGGGAAAGCAACAGATCAGCGAGCAGTTTTTGATTGCACTGCATTCCGTGGATTTTGCAAAAGTGACGGATCAGGATGATAAGAGATTATAAGGCAACAGCCCAAACCGTGCAAAATGTCTGCATTCTGACGGGGAGTAAATAAAAAAGGGTGCATAAGTTCACATAGTTGCTGGCATGGATCCGAAATGACAAAATGTTGAGCCTCCTTGTGTAGCCGCTTCACAACTTCAGCAATAACAAAAACGATAATTACACAACTGAACAAGGGAGCACTGTGCCCCAGCAAGTGAACCAGTTTAGATTAATCAAACGACTCGTTAGCATACAAGCTAAGGGTGGCTTCGTATCCCAAGAGGACGTCGGGCTCTGAAGTTACTGCATTCTTTTTGTAGTTTCGTTTATCATGAGCCGATGTACTCGATACTGTTATATACACGGGACGGGAAAGTGATTACTAAGAACAATATGTTTTGGGAGAGGACAATTGGCGATAGGGTTTTTTTCCTTTCCCTCTCTCTTTTTGTGAGGAGCTCGTTAAATACAAGAGTGATCCAGCTAGCTGTGCATAGATGTGAGTATGTAAAAAAGGAAGCCAAAAAGACGTGCTGTTAGCGACCTTACCTGCAGCATCAATGGTGATGAAGGTGCCGACTTGAATCTTTTTCGGCCACGCCAACAGTTGTTGTTTTCCTCTGCAGGGCAGTTCAAAAGATTCCTACTTCACGCTCGACAGAAGCAACCAGCGAGGACAAACAGAACGTTGCGCTTCTGGTGCACAACAGCGACTGACACCGCGCAGTGAAGGGTCTGCTTGGAGCTGCAAGGATTTGTGATATCGCGAGATAAAACGACAACTCAACGAACCAATCAAAATGGCACATTTCTTTGCCAACTCCTCATAAACACAGGAAGAATCCATCTGAACTCTTTAATCTCCCGAGGATTGCGGGTGTGTTGAAGTATACCAATTTTATACCCCATTTGATTTCGGGCAGGAGGCGGATTTGATTCCGGCATGATGTAATGTTAACTGTTGAACAAACATGCTCTTTTGGGGTTTATTAATTAATTGGTTAATCAACAATCATCAAATTAAGCAACACCATTTTGATAATCCATTAATCATTTAGAGCCATTGTTTGATTACAAATAGTCCAAATTCCCCGATTTCAGCCTCACGAAAAAAAGAATTATCTGATTTCTGTAGTCATCCATAGAAGCAGACTGGCCTTTTGTGTTTAATCAAAAGAGACATTTGAAAACATTTGCTTTTATTCTAGAAAACAATCATCAAGACTTCACTTTATTTTCTTAGACATTACGGACCAAACCAGTAACCAGATCATAATCAATTTATAGAGAAAAAAAGATCACTGTTAGTTTAAACTATTTTAAACAATAACACACATCAACAATTTTTATTAATAAAATGTTATATCGGTAATGCAAGTAACGTGAATGTGTGTGTTTTGAGTACATTATTTTGTCAAATGATGGTGTTATTAAGAGATGGATTAGGTCATTTACTGTCCCCACTGAAGGCCCAAGTCTGAAACTCATCGCCTGCCCCTGCAATTGAGCAGACAAACGAGCACACTACAATGCAAGGATGAAAACACTGGACACTGGTAACTGGTGGCAAGTAGGCAACAGTCCAGCATCTATGTATCTCCTCTTTCTCCTGCACTTAAGAGCTTAGCTCTCATGGAGATGAGGTCTCCACGCTAGGATCCACCTACCCACACTACCATTACGACTGAGGACACATAAATGAAAAATAACTGGATCATGACAGAATTTATCTAAAGATTTTCAGGTTGTGGATATGTTTTGTTAAGAGCAAGGAGGAAACTGTGTTGCTCTTTTTGGTGCTCTAATGTATTTTGCATGAGGCAGCCAAGGCCACTTTACCAAACGCTTAAATAATTCAAGCCTTCTTAATGCTGATGCCAAATCTTGTGAGATAATCTGCGAGATGGAATAAACAAAAATGTCAGGTCACAGAGCAGAAGACCTGTATGACACAAGATCTTGGAAAAGAATGTCGAGACACTGTTAAGTTGTCCCGCATTTCCATGGCTGACTACTTTGTAATTATGCAAGACTTCTAAAAAATTACAATAATACTGTTCTGAAAATAAAAAGCAATACTTATAGTTGATATAAACTATCTATACCCCTTGTTGAAATGTAAGTGTTTGAGGGTATAAAAATGAAAAGCACGTTCATAAAAAAAAAAAAAAGTGAAGGTAGGTAAAATAAAAAACTAAAATAATGTGGTTGCACAAGGCAAGGCAGATATGTTTGTCTAGCACAGGGAAACTCACAGTGCTTTGCAAAAATGAGTGGAATAGAGAGAAAAAAGTTACAGCACATAACTGCTATGAAGTTGCTGCTATGACATAATAAATGTATTATTTTTATTACTTTTAAATAAAAACTTCTTTGTGAAAGTGAAACTGAGAGGTTGCTAAAGGTGCAGTGTGCAGTAACACAAAAATATAGAATATTAATTACACGCACACAGACACACATCTTTTTTTTTTCATTCATTTCCTGCTAGAACCCCCCTCCCCCCACGATCGACTTTGGACCAGTTCGCGAACTGGTTGGGCACCCCTGCTCAAAATTGTCCTTGAGTGTGAGCGCAAATGGTTCTATGTCTATGAGTGGCCTGCGATTGGCTGGCAACCAGTTCAGGTTGTCCCCTGTCGACTGCCCAAAGACAGCTGGGATGGGCTCCAGCAACCACCGCGGCCCTTGTCAGGATAAGTGGATCAGAAAATGGATGAATAGATGGATGTACACAAGTTAAAACACTTGTCAGATTGCAGCAAGTCACGTTGTGATCACCTGCACAATATAATGAGATGCTATACAAACGCTGCATCACATATTTTGCAGGTACAGTTTGAAGATGAGTTGATTTTTGTGGTTGTAGTTTGCGTTGGTGAGTGACCGAGGGCACCACATCAGCGTGAGAGCTGTCAGTAATACTTTAGTGAGCTCATGCAGGCAGTTGCAGGACAGAGCTCTCACATCAGTTGCCCTCAGCTTTTTAACTTCCAATCTATCACTCTGTAAAAGGAAGCAGTGGCTGAGTACCTTTAAGTGGTCTCATTTCCTGGAAAGCAAAAGGATAGCATCTAATGTCTGTTTTAGATTATTTTTGATTCAGTGAGTCTTACTTGCTTTATCTTACCTAAAAGGCACTGAACTCTCTGCTTGCGATACTATGTCTAAATATAATTCATGGAAAGCAGATCATTGAAAAAAGGTTGAGAACCAGTTTTAGAGCACGTATGACACTTATTATTTCAATGTCTTTAAACACACTTTAAAATAATACAAATTAATTGAAAAAATTGAACATATTGAGGGAGTAAGAACAGAGCAATGTTTCATGTCCATGCGTGAGGGTGAAGGTTTGTCAAACATTGAGATGAGTTGACTCAGAGGCTTTGCACATGCCTGTATTGTACTGTACACGGCCACACAAAGGAAACGCATGATTGGTTCCCGGCACAACATCGACCAACGAGAGCACGAATGGATTTTATCCCGTGAGCTGCTTGGCTGCGCATCATTGCAGCCTCACCCAACACCTTCACTTGTTGTGTCTCGTCACACTGTTGCGTACTGTATCTTAGTGTAATGTTCACAATAACTTTTTTTTAAAAAATTGTGAAGCTGCTTTCCAACCCCTTGCCGCCACTGAAGCAATGCGCTTGTCCCTTCATGGCAGCAGGGGTCTGACTCGATTGAGTGGGTCAAGGAGCCTTATTTTGAAGTTTTCCTGACCCGGTCAGCTGTTTTTTAGACAGGTCACAAGAAAGCAGGGACAGCTCAGACGAAGGCTGAAGTGACATCCGAAACTGTCAGCTCGGTAAAAGTTTCTTTTTTTTTTTCTAAAAAAGACCATTGTCTGATTAAAAACAAACAAAAAAAAACCTTGAATCTATTTCAACTAATAAGGAGACAAGGTGAATGTCATAGCGCTACCCATCACCATGTTTTTCTCCAATTATAAACCTCAGCTGTACCGTCAGTGCCTCTAGCAGAAGAGTGAACCAAAAGTCTGTACAAGTCAGGTAAGAACCACCTTCTATGCCACCAACACAAGCCTCTTTGCCGCTCTCAGAAGGTAATGTCGATGACTGTTAAATTACTGTGTAAGGTTTTATAATTGAAGGTTTAAATAAATACATGTGCTGTTGTACTTTTTGTCTCAAATATGTTAAGTATAAATACCGTTTACATATTTTAAACATGCTAGTACCCACATATACATACATGAAAATATCGAGGGCGGGGGAGATCCTACCTCACGGTTTTCACCTTTTACGGGGGGTTTCTGGTCCCCATTAACCACCAATGAGGGATTACTGTACTGTATAAGACAAAAGCAAGGCGTGTCAAATGTTAGGGAGGGGCCAGCCAGGCAGCCTCCTCAGCCAGGGTGCTCTGCACCTCACACCTGAGACTCGTCAGCTCATCACCCACCTGTTGCCTATCTGCTCGTTTGGACTGGTACATATTGACTCACAGACCATTCCTCAGTGCAAGTTCGTACCGTCACCACGCCAGTGGACTTTGTTGCCATTTCCTACAGCTGCTTGTTCCTTGTGTGGACAATTCCTTGTGGACTCCTCGTGCTTCCTCCTGAGTGACTTTGCGAAGACTCTTCGAATAAACTACGCCAAGTGTTGGCTTCAACAATACCTGCCTGTTGTCGTGCTCTTGGGGTCACACCCAAACCCTAACATCAAACTCAGACTAGGTCTAAAAGCAGAAATCAAAGAATAACAGTTTGTTCTGTTCCTGTAAAAAGGGTAAGCAAAATTCTTGCAAAATCACATTATTATTTATTACACATGACAATTTGAAACTTTCAGATTTTAGCAAGGATCACCCAAGTTAAAACATTTGATTTTTTGGTGGGCCATATGAAATGAGGCCTGATCTGGTCCTTGGGCCTTGAGTTTAACATCTGTGCTGTACAGTGTGCTAATTCCTGGCTTTCCGGAAAAACACATTTATCAATTAACTAACAGACTAACAAATAAATCAAGCACATAGTCTGACATATTTTCCCAGTCTTTTCTGCTACCCCTTCATCTAAGGCCGTCTTGATTTCTTCCCTTAGGGGGAAAAAATAAAAGGAGCCAGAGGGTAAATAGATTATACGGTCCATCATCAAAAGATTCAGAGAATCTGGAGAAATCTCTGCATGTGAGCGGCAAGGCTGAAAACCAACATTGACTGCCCTTCGATCCCTCAGGTGGCACTGCATCATTGTGTAAAGGATATTGCCGCATAGCCTCAGGAACTCTTTTGAAAACCATTGTCAGTTAACAAAGTTTGTTGCTACATCTACAATATACTCTACTATGCCAAGGGAACAAAACACTGCCTTCTTCTCTCTGTCTGAGTTCATCTGAAATGGACTGACACAAAGTGGAATCGTGTGCTGTGATCTGACGACTCCACATTTTGAATTGTTATGGGAAATCATGGACGTTGTGTTCTCCAGGCTGAAGAGGATAAGGATCAGCTGGATTGTTATCAAAGTTTCAACGACAGCATCTGCTATGTTATGGGGATGTTTTAGTGTCCATGGCAAGGGTACATTCCAGATCAGTGAAAGCATCATTAATAATTAAAGGTACATACAGATTTTGGAGCAACATATGCTGCTATCCAAGCAATGTCTTTTTCTCTGCAATAAGACAAAGCCAAGCTACATCCTGCACGGCTTTGTAGTACAAGAGTGAGAGGACCAGACTGGCCTGCAAGCAGAACAGAGACATTGAAAACGTGGAGAGCAACATCCATCCATCCATCATCCATTTTCAACACCGCTTATCCTGAACAGGGTCACAGGAGCCTATCCCAGCTGACTTTGAGCGGAAGGCAGACTACACCCTGAACTGGTCATTCGCAGGGCACATATAGAGACAAATATATTTACACCCAGATTAACACCATCACTGAGTGGGAACCCATCCCACGCTGCCCGCACACAAGTCCGGCGGGTGTACCACTACACCATCAACAACTTGTGTGGAGCAACATGAAGCGCAAAATACAACTGAGACCTTATAGTGGTGAGCAACCTAAGTTGTACAATGTACATCTAGCAAAAAGGGAAATAATTCCACCTACAAAGCTTCAACTATTGTCCTAAGTTTCTAAATGCTTATTGAATCTTATTAAAAGGAAAGGTGATGTAACACAGTGGTAAATGTCCA